CAGCAATGGTAAAACCTCCTTCCCTGGTGTAATTACGATGCTCTGGCTGTAGGTCGGGGGGATCAGCGAGATTAGCCAGATCAACATCAAGCTGCAGGGCAATTGCAAGGAAATCTGATGGTGTATACAACGGCCGATTGAGAACGCGAAGGCAGCTATTAGTTGCAGTTGTCACACTGTGAACTATTGACTAAGAGCGTAAGCACATGAAGTAGAAGAAGAAATAAGATGAGCAAAGAAAAGAAAAACGGAAGGACAGACAGGCAAAGAGACAGACAAACCAGAATGACACAAAACAGTGTCCTCTTATTCTTTGTTTCACTGTATTCTTACTTCTTTCAGTGTTTTACAAAAAAATTACACTGAACAAGGGATAAAAATAAAAATCAAAGACACATTGAAATCATTCAGTTTCTCAGTCTTCTTTATGCCTCCTCCATGCCTCTAACGTACAAGGCTCGCCACGTTGATGAAGTTGAGCGCAAACTGCCCCCATCCCCGTATGCCATAACAGCTATTAATTTTCAAAAATTAAAAAAATTAAAATGTCTGGGCCCCCTGTGGATTTTGGGCCACAATCGGGCTTGGTACCGAGCGTTCGGGTTCGGTCACCGAGCCCGAACGCGACGCTACGCAGAGTGAGATTATACGATGTTTCTCTTCGCTCAAACCACGTCCCGCGACGACCCACAGTGATACACAAGCTGGCTGCTGGAAGGGTCAGCCTACTGTCCATGAGGGAAAGTGGGAGTGCACAAAATTTTGAGTGCACCAACTTTGGCAATTTTTCACGCTTTGATTTTCTGGGGAAACATTTTGGACAAAACAAGCATGAAGCATGATCCTGTGGCTTCCTGCAGGCTGCTGGACTGTCTGCAGGAGCCCTAGGAGCAGATATTATACAATAACATGTGGAGCAAGCACATAGAGAATCAGGGCAGACGAAGAAACAAGCTGCTGGTCCCTGGACAAGCGGCGATGCAGCGCATGCCGTTGATGACACACACTCTGGACAAGTGATGATGCGGCGCATGCCGTTGATGATACACCCTGGACAAGAGACGATGAGGCGCATGCCATCGATGATTAACAACAAGAATAGTATTGCAAGTGAAGATGAACATGTCTCTGGTAACGAAGATGGGACAATGGGAATAATGGGAACCGGATAGTCTGTTCGTAGGGCAGACCATGGAGGAGATGGGGATGGCGAGGAGGAATGCAGCCATCTGCGGCCAAGCAAAAAAAGAGACGACAGGAGGGTGGCTGGGAAAGATTTCAAAATAAATGACATCTGTGATGTTCTTTGCACTGGAGCTACAGCAGAGGAAGTTGTAGCAGTAAACACTAGGGAGAATTCCAGCTATGTAAATTGCTGTGCTGAGAACTGCAGCAGTAGAAACTCTAGCAGTGGAAGCTGCAGCAGTAGAAGCTGCAGCAGTAGAAGCTGCAGCAGTGAAAGATGTAGCAGTAGAACCTGCGGCAGTGGAAACTGCCATAGCAGCAGATGAGCAAGTGGGGGCAAGAAGAAAGTTGATGATACAAGAGGGACGTCTCATATGTGTAGGATAGCGAGATCGGTCCTGGGGCATGCCTGCATGGAGTTGTTCTTACTAACAGGTGTTGGGCACGGGCCACCCAGACGAGTAGGTCCAAGATTGAAGCACCTTTATGGCTATTGCAGACAAAAAAACACATTTGAGATGAGCCAATCCAACAATGAAACAACTTTACCTTTATTGCAAGCAACAGGGAGCAGAATAGGTCCGTTATATCCCTTCCTTGACTATCTTCACTTTGGCTTTCTTTGGGGTAACCCAAAGAAAGTCCAAGTCAAGATACTCAAGGAAGGGATATAACAGACCTGCATGTTGCTTTCTATTAAGGCAAAACTGTTTCTTTGTTCGATTGGCTCATCAAGTGTGCTTCATTGTCTGCAATAGAGGTAAAGCTGCTTCGATCTTGGATCTACCATCTGGGTGGCCCTATCCTAACACCTGTTAGTAAAAACAACAACAGCACGCTGGCATGCCCCCAAACAGGACCGGTTCGGGTATGGACTGTGGAAGCACCGCATCCAATTTTCATTGCCACAGTTGCTCCATCGAATGGCACGGCATAGACAGATGTCACAGAAACATTGCCAAAGCCCAGGCAGAACATTGAGGATCCGTCAGGCGAGTACGCTGGACCATTTTCATGACAGTCTCTTGCCACAGCAGAGAGCGGTACTGCCCTCCCGGCATGGCCTACAATCAGGGCAGTTTCACAATGGA